ACAATGATAAAAAATATATCAGACTTTCGACCGATATTATATGTAATTTTAGATTATATGCGCTTAATTTTCTCAGGCATATTGGTGAAGTTATAATGTCTGAGTATCAACGTCAACTGATATCAGAAATGTTGTTATTTTTCAAAAACTACATGCCTAGTGATTTTAGTAGACATCTTTGCCAATTTAAAAACGTTAAAAAATTATGGAAGGCTCATCCCGCGTAAAAATAGAAATTATTGGCCATAGATTGCAGAGATATTGGCGAAAAGTATTGAGGATGTATTGGGAACATATTGGCAAATGCTATTGGAATACAATTGCCAACACTTGCCTTGGATACGATTAGCAGTATGTTGCCAATAGCTGCAAAGAAAAAAGAAAATTACTCGGCAATACGTTGGCAGAATGTTGCCAATAGTTGCAAAGAAAACTACTCGGCATTACTTTGGCAATATGTTGCCAATAGTTGCAAAGACAACTACTCGGCAATACATTGGCAATATGTCGCCAATAGCTGCAAAGAAAACTACTCCGCAATACGTTGTCAATATGTTGCCAATAGTTGCAGATAAAAAAGAAAACTACTCGGCAATACGTTAGTCAAATGTTGTCAATAGCTGCAAAGAAATTTACTCGGCAATACGTTGGCAATATGTTGCTAATAGCTGCAAAGAAAACTACTCCGCAATGCGTTGTCAATATATTGTCAATAGTTGCAGATAAAAAAGAAAACTACTCGGCAATACGTTAGCCAAATGTTGTCAATAGCTGCAAAGAAATTTACTCGGCAATACGTTGGCAATATGTTGCTAATAGCTGCAAAGAAAACTACTCCGCAATGCGTTGTCAATATATTGTCAATAGTTGCAGATAAAAAAGAAAACTACTCGGCAATACCTTAGCAAAATGTTGTCAATAGCTGCAAAGAAATTTACTCAGCAATACGTTGACAATATGTTGCTAACAGTTACAAAGAAAACTACTCGGCAATACTTCGGCAATATTTTGCCAATAGTTGCAAAGAAAACTACTCGGCATTACTTTGCCAATATGTTCCCAATACATCCTCAATACTTTTCGCCAATATCTCTGCAATCTATTGCCAATAATTTTTATTTTTACGCGGGATATGCTCAAAATATTTTTATTGCATACGGCTCTAATTGCTCTGTCCAATATCTTACCATCTGATCACTACAACAATTTTTCCCTTTTACATGTCGCAATATTTATTTTAGTTAATCCCATGCTATGTGGAAGCAAAGATTATTTAAAGTATGCTGAAAGATCTTAATTTAGATTTGTAGAAACCTTAGAAAAATTATATGGCGAAGTTAACACTGTTTTCAATGTCCACAATGTTTTATACTTGGTAAACGATTTAAGAATCATTAAATAATTTCAGTTCCTTTCAATCTAAAAACCACATACGAAAAATAAAACGGTTAATAAGAAAAGAAGATAAAAAGTTGTAACAAATTCATAACAGGCTTTATGAAATTAGAGCAGCGAAAGAATATTACGATGAAGATGATACTCCAGAAACAGATTTTTTAAATCTATCAAAACATACAGAATTCATGGTTATAAAAAAATTTTGTTGATCATTTATTGTCGTGACGATAAAAACAAATATGTCTTAATTAGTAACGATACGTACTTGGAATGTAAATATTTCATCAAAGGGAATGATGGAATTGTACATATTGCAGGACGCCCGTTTATTACGTTTAAACCTTTTTATATATAAAGCCGCTGTCATCTAGTGATTTGAACATAATAATTGTAGTTAGCAGCTCTAAAGCATATACCAAAACATTTTAATATTCATTCATCTTTGCCAAATTACGCGTAGTTTCCCAAATTATATTCTTCTGAGAGATAAATTTGTTGCATTACCGTTGTTCCATAATGAAAGATATCAAAATAAGAAATTTTTATTCTAAAGTCCATACAATTTTGCAAAGGTGAATATTTCGAGAAAAAAATAGTATATTTATATCAGCAAATTCTCAGACAAACTTTCTTAATTCAAAACCGTTTTGCAAAAAATCGTACCTTTACGTGGAAAAACACAATTAAGTCACGTATCACATGTTTGCAAATAATTTTTGTTAGTTTGTGAAATCTTCGACAAAGGAAATGAAGACTTCTGACTGCCTGCTCCGGTCAGCCCTGTCGACCCACATTTTTTTCTTTTAAAGAACTAGAAAATCCAATTTTCACAACTTACAATATATTTTTTTACATAGATTATGATGGTGCTATTAGTTTTGTTATAAAAATTACCTCAAAAAACGTTGCAAGCAAAAAAAAAAAAAATTAAACAATTTGGGCAGTTACTTTAGTAAAATTTTCAAGCTAAGTTCGATCAGCACAGAAATTTAAGTCATATATACGAGAGAATTTATAAGTCTCATGCAAGTCAAGTTCCTTGAGATTTAATACGGATATGATGCATGAATTTTGAATAAATAAAATACATGGATTTAAATTTGCTAGATTTTAATCTTGTATATATCAGGTTCGTATTTATCCGGCATAAAAACCCGAGTCATAAGTAGGGAAAAGCCATCTAAATACGAGCAAACACAATCGACAAACAATGTACAGAAAGTTACGCTGCTATTTTTAAATTAATTAATTGCGGCAGGCTCGCTTTGCCTGTGAATGGCCATTCGAACTAAAGCTACCACACGACGCTAATTGCACCTTGTGCGTGAAGGATGGTCGTCTCCTGCCAGCGTCTCAACACAGTGCCAACGTCTTGGTCACGGGCACAGCCCGCACTATGCTGCCCTTATGAATAGGGCCGAGTTGCTGCCGTTTGAGCTGCCCAGGGTCGGAGACGCCTCAGAGGATACCACGCGTATCCTCAGCTAGGCCAACTGGTGCCGGTAGCCCTTGTTACGATAGCGGGTTCGCCAAGTCGCTAATACTATGAAGCACGCAACCATTGAAAGCTATTACAATCTGAGATCGCAACGAGGTAAAACACTGAGAGAGCAACAAATTAACTGAGAGATCAACGAGGTACAGGGATCGAGTTCTCGAGAACAACTGACTTCTTCCTTCTTTTTGAAGAAAGATCAGAGAGTTTTCTCGTCGCATTGGGCCTGATCGTGGGGGCCAATTTGAGCTGCAAGGGTTATTGCGCCGAATTTCTCGACAAGCGTTTACCTGCGCGATAATTGCCGGTTAACCATACCCTTTTTTTTTTATTGGACCATGCGCGCACCGCTGGCTCTGCTGCACGTGTTCGTATTTTAGGTTTTCCCCGTCCGCAACAAAACCCAAAATAAGTGACAAGGGACTGCATCTCCAAATGGACTTTCACTTTTACACAGCAACAAAAAAAATGTTATAAATTATTATAATACCCCTCACTCCACCACAACCTTTCAAGAACTTCTGTAGGCAAGTAGGCATGAGGATTATACAATTTTTTTATTATACTTCAAATTGTTCTTCAATATTTTTCATGCTATCTTGGTTTCTTTGAACAATTTTATTCCAGCCTTTTTTATTGAATATAATGCTGTAATCATAAGAACAATCAAATTCATAGCTACTTGTTTATGTTTTTTATCAAAAATAAATATCGTACTTGAATAACAATACTTAATATTATTATAATTATTATTATATACTTATTAATATTATTATTATCATAGCTACAACGTCAAATAGGTATGCTGACAGAATATATATGTTAGTTTGTACCTGCAATAAACTAGAGAACGATGTTAAATCACTCATCTACATCGGACGAGTAGATTAATATGATTAATAAGTAACTGTTATACATACTGTATATAATACAGTATATATATAAGATTAATTATATAATGATTTTAAATTCTACTATCAATATTGTTGCTTTTGAATAGTAGAACAAAATGTAAGGTACATAGTTTTATCCGTGTTGCATCATCGCTTATGTCGCTTATTTTTAAGATATTGTACTTTTGTTCAATTTCATTTTTTAACATTAACAACATCATGCGTTGAAATGTTTGCGATGGTGGAAACAACTATACTAGACGTTATGTCTTTAATTTTTTCATTGACGAATTTCTTAAGATATTATTGTACCTTTCTCATGTTATTCTGTATTGATAGGAGAAATAAAATATTTTTATTTGCAATGTTTGGACAATCATACATACCGTTTCAAACGTCTTGATTTTCATAATGACGGACCCGACGAGTAGTCTTACGAAGCTTATTCGAACTTTGTTTCCACCATCACAAACATTTCAACGCATGATGTTGTTAATGTTAAAAAACGAAATTGAACGAAAGTACAATATCTTAGAAATAAGCGACATAAGTGATAATGCAACACGGATAAAACTATTTATGTACCTAACATTTTTTTCTACTATTCAAAAGCAACGATATTGATAGTAGACTTTACTACCATTATATAATTAATATTTTATATATATATATATATATATATATATATATATATACTGTATTATATACAGTATGTATAACAGTTACTTATTAATCGTATCAATCTACTCGTCTGATGTAGATGAATGATTTCACATCGTTCTCTAGTTTATTCCAGGTATAACTAACTTCGTCAGCATACCTGTTTGACTTTGTAGCTATAATAATAATAATAATAAGTATATAATATTAATTGTAATAATATTAAATATTGTTATTCAAGAACGATATTTATTTTTGATAAAAAACATAAACAAGTAGCTATGAATTTTATTGTTCTTATGATTACAGTATTATATTCAATAAAAAAGGCTGGAATAAAATTGTTCAAAGAAACCAAGACGGCATGCAAAACTATTGAAGAACAAGTTGAAGTATGATAAAAAAATTGTATAATCCTCATGCCTACTCGCCTACAGAAGTTTACCTTTCTTGAAAGGTGTGTGTGTGTGGGGGGGGGGGGAGATATAATGATACAAATGATTGACGACCGTGATGAGGCATGTCATCTCTTTATTATAAATTAGTACTTACTATTAAAATACCAACGTTTTTCTAAAGCATCTCATAAAAGGTAAATACAAATTATTATTAAGGAATTTAAACGATTCGTCTTCGTGGAAATAATTCAAAGTTTTATTTACAATTTCATGTTGTCCTTTTTTCATTAAGTCGATAATGTTAAAAGCTTCATTTATTTTTTCTTGAAGATAATTTGCGTGAATTGGTTGATATTCGTCTTTTTCAAAATCCTCCAGTTCCTTATTTCATACAACAGAATATTTTCATGTAAAATTTTATTTATTGAACAATCGAAAAAAGATAGAAAAGTGTTATTACCTCTTTGATTATGGTTGTTAAAAATATATTTACTCCCCTGTAGTAGTTAACAATTTTTTTGTAAAGTTGATTGTAGATGTCTATTTTCACTTTATTGTATTGAAGATTATATATAGATTCGCATTCTGCTGTAAGTAGACCTCTTTGTTTGCTCAAGTTGAAATATTCCTATAATTGATAGACAATATTAATTGTAATACAATATTAAGTAAGACAATATTAAAGAATAAATGTTATTTACCTCAGCTATGCGTACAACAATGTGATTTTCTAGTTTGGTAGTAATATTTTTACTTAAAAAATTTGTTAAATTTTTTTCGAGGGAAATACCAAGATCCTTAATGTGATTAATATGCATTTTAATATTTGATGTTTGATCTATCATTTGTTGCAAGGCAATTTGATCATTAATATATTTTCCTAGAATGCCATTCTTAACGAAACATAAAATAAATAAAATGTAATCACTGATAATTAATTTGATTCAATTATATTTAATATTGCTCGTTATATACCTGTTTTGCTACAGCGAAAATCAATACAAGTAGAAGACCTTTCATTTTTGAAAAAACACGTGGCTGAACGTATTTTATGTTCTTTGAAAAGGTAAGACACGTATGCCAGTGACTGACGTTGAAATCATTTATATATTTGCCTTGTGCGATAAGATAAGTTTTGTCGTTGTGACCCACACTTTTCCAAGAGGTTTCGCTTGATTTGAAATTTGAATAGATACTAGCTGAATTTCATCTAATTAAACAAAAACATTTTTCAACAGTATGGCGTAATTTAGCAAAGAATTACTCACTCGTTAGCAAAACATCGTCTTCAATTTACATTTTCCCATTTTCGACACCCTTAAAAGAGATCGGGATAATTTGGCAGACATCAACGCTTGCGCGCGCTTTTTTTAATTAACTTTCATTACTCGAAATTTATACGATTATCCTCGCGTGATGGCGGCATATTTTTGTCTGACCGATAATCTTCAAAAATGCAACCTCTGCTGACCTAGAGTTCGCACTGTTCCATGATCCTAGACACGCAGAAACTGTGAAACTTTCATTTCTGCACTATTATCAAGATTGCACTGTCGAGACACCATTGAAATTTCGGATTTTACATCCATTTCTCTTCTCCCCCCCCCCCCTTTTATCGTTGGCGAACACGATTTTCGACGCAGAAGCTGAGATATTTCGTTATCGGTGAACATCTACCGAATGCTCAACTTTTATAGAGGGTTTTTAATTAACAAAATGTATGCTGCTAAATATTATCGTGAGGTTGTATCTGCGTGGTGCAGAAATTTGTGCAGATTCATTATTTAGCAATGAAATGTATAAATAACATGAATCTAAGAAACATTCGTGGAATTTTTCAGAAAAGACGTCGACATATTTCTCGTCTACTTAGAAAAGTCATACGTGTTGAAAAAGTATGTTCTTACACATTTGCGACAATCGGTATATTTTATCGTACTTCGATAATACCGAAGAATCAAACACAAAGACGTATCGTTCAACAAACAAGCTTCTTGAATGCATATATATACTCCATTAACACAATTGCAATACATTCACAACAGTCATACGTAGAAGCGTACGAAGGAGGCAAGGGAAAAAGGAAGCTTAATAATAATATTTATTATTAGTTATGCTCTCTACTCTCGTGCTACGCGCATGGAGCGCAGATGCCGCGAACAAAAATGAATTCACTAATATTTTGATTCGTTTGTTCTTTCTGTACGCGGAAAAAGGATTAATTGATGATTTTTTTTCATGGGCACATTTTTGTAGGTTTCTAATGTCATCGAAATTGTTGTCTCGAAATATTCATTGTTGTAAAAATGACTTAACTTTAGCATAAAAATCTCGTACTAATGCAATCAGGGGGTATTTAACTGAATGGTTCGTTTCTGCGTTTTTATTTTTCTCTACGTAAATCAATTTGAATGCAATTCATTATTGCGTGTAATTGTCTCACATTTTCCTATCAAGTTTTGATAAAATTTTTGGCTAACCTATTAATTTACAGGAGAGTTGCAAAAATGTGCTTCCATTTGCCACCTTCTCCATCAGGACAGGATCATAAACATTTGATAACATTCCCGAATAACACGAAAATGTTTTGAAAATATTTTGCGGAAAACTCCAAAATGTTTTTTTGGTAAAAAAAAGTTTTTAAGACGTGGGACTAGTCCACCCGTGTTTTGAATCTCCAGAGTATGCTAGAGTTTGTAAAATGTTTTAAAAACGGTTTTTACAATAAAGTTTTTTACAGCCTAAAAATCCAAACGTTTTTATATTTTTACAAAATATTCAAAATAGTCTTTTTAATAAAATTTTTTGCAGCCTGTATATATCGTGAATATACATAATTCAGATGTTCGATAACGCGTGTATTTTTTTATCCTAAAAGGTGATTCAAAAAAGTACCTATGATGATGGAAGTGTAGGTAATGTTGGGTTGACCTAAGTACACTTATCATTGACGGTCTAGTGTAATATTAAATAAATCAGGTATTCATCTTAACGTGATCTAATCACTGCTGAACGATACTTGTAAAAAAAGGTATTAACTGTTGTAAAGATTGTAAGTTTACTATATGGCGTGTAAGTTTTAACAATAGATCATCTAACGGTAGCCGATCCTTACTTCAAAAAGTTAGTCTGCAGAAGTCTGTAAATGTTGTGATTGGTCAATTGGAAATGGAGATTTCGACGTTTCATTGGCTTGTACATGTGACGTGTAAAATTTAGCGCGTGATTTTGAAATATTTTTTTTTTTTAAATAGTATATATATATTTTAAAATTATAATTTTTTAACGTGAGATTTAGAATAGAATATTGGAAAATTATGATTTATTGGCAGATCTTAATTTGGTATTAGATTAAATATCTTAGTACAAGATTAGATTTAAAATAATTTTTAATTTAAATATCGTATAGAATCGTTTGTAAAAATATAGTGCTAAAAACTCGGTGCCATTTGCTTTTAAGAGAAGGCAATTTCCAATAAAATTAGCGTTTATTATGACTATTCACAAATCTCAAGGATAAACTTTCCGGAAAGTGGTCATTGACTAACGTCGGGATGTATTTTGTCACAGACAATTATATGTTACATTTTTTCGAATGAGATCATAGTATTCGATTAAAATATTTTTTTATTTAAAAGTACTTCACGTACAAAAGTAAAAAATAAAAAATTATGTTTACAAAGAATTATTTCGAGATAACTAAAAAAATATTAGAATTTATTATTTTACTTAAGAATATACAAGGTCAGGATATATATATATATATATATATATATTGCGAAGCGCGCATGCAACTTCTAGTAAAAAGCAAAAAAAAACTGCTATTCAAATTAATATTTTATTTCTATTATATATAATATATTAATATTTTATTATAAAGCTACTAGATGACCTTTTGCCATATTTCATGCAGTCATATAGCGATCTTGTCACTTTTACGATACTTAATACCGATCTGCTTATACTAGTGTTAAGTCGCAAATATACGGGCTTTACAAACAAACACTAAATATATCTATCAAATTATTGTCTACTTTAGCGATACTACATAAAAGTATTTAAAACAATTTCCGCTAAAGATTTTTTAGTGTTACTGATAAGATCCATTATATCAAATAGAGGAATTTTTGCTACCAAATCGACATCCATTGTTTATAAAAATGAAATAATACTTACCTGGATCTATCTTACTCAATGTTGCAACTTAAAAACACTTACATTCTATCATCCACATTGAATCTGTTACACGCGATTTCTATGTACCTTTCGATCATCTATATAGAGGAGTCAGTATTAGGAATGATGAAAATCATTGGATCTCATTGTTCTGAATTTCTAATAAAAAATTATACCATTAATTCTTATTAAATTCAATAAAAAAAGCTTATTTTAATTTGATAAAAAATATTATGATAAATATAATTTTAGATTTTTTAAACTGATTGTAAAAGATGGTTTTGTTGCAAAGCTTTTAAAAATAAAATACCTTTTTCAAATAATATTCTACATTATTAATAATAGTCATCTACCTATTCCATTACTTATTTCCATTGGATCATCTGCACATCGTTCAACGAAAATTAAAAATACAATTATTAATTTAAACCGCACTAGCTTGTCGACTTCGTACAGTCAAGTTGAACGATACCGTGTTGAACTTGCGTTGTATACAGCCAAATTAATTAAAATAATTACACGTTTATCTAGTCACTTTAATAGTTATGTCATTACATTTGCGGTATTTGATAACTGTAATTATAAATGAGAATCCTTTTCCTGATTTATTATGTTATTTTTATTTTGAATGAAAGATACACACACACACACACACACACACACACACACACACACATATTCATCTACTAATCCGAAAAAACTAATGGTTACTAAATTTGAGTATCATTCGAGATGCTTTAATAAATCACTAAAATGCCAAGAAAAAAAGATTTTGCTATGCAACACAAGATATACATTTACCAGATAGTTTTACAGCTTTTACTTAAGACGTTTTTTTTTTATTTATTGTTTATGATGGTCACATCAACCATCACCATTTGGTTATTAGTGACCACTAGATATAAAAATTTTACATATGAAAGTATATATAGAAAAAATAATGACAAAAGTATACAATATGTACTTCTTTTGGAAGTTTACAACAGAATTATAGTACATTATTATGACATGATTTACAATATGGTATACAGATTATTTCGAGTTACAGTATAATCGTGGTCAATACAGTAATGTAGTTTCTTGTACACATATGACGTCTGGATTTTGATCTACTATAAGTTTTTGTAAAAATTTAAATTGGTGCTGTAATCCGTTTATATTCCATTGTATTATTTTTTATCCATTTTTAATTATTATGAAGAATCTTCAGCATACGATGCCGCTGTAGTTGATCTTTCAATTTCTTGGTTCAATACGTATTGTTTTAGTTTTTTGTAATTCTAGTGAATCTACTTTTGAGATTTTTATGTTGTGCCAAGGGATATAGTTCATTCATTAGATCTACTAAACTATTAATATTTTTGGTGTAGTTTAGTGCAATTAAATGTAGAGTGGGAGAACCATGTATGTTTTCTAAAAAGCTTTTGAATTGTAATGGATTAAGTAGTTTATCTGGTTTATTTAATTTACTTTCGAGAGGAGCTAACATTTCATCTAACGTTGTGTACACTTACATCTGCTGTTTTCTTTTTTTGTAGTCATTTTGTTTCTTTAGGTTTCGTAAAAATTTGGTTTTCTTGGGAGGAAATTGTGTTTTCTGAAATTAAAGATCTTGCCCTTTTATGAGGTAGTGTATTTTGGGTATGAGAAATATTTTCTATTTCTACATGTAGTGTTTGTTCTGGTATTTTGTTATCTGCGGTATTTTCAATTATTAAGGGTGTCATTGAATTTTGTGTTAAGTCGGTTGAATTTATATCTTTTGTTTTGTTATTGGTATAATTAATAGAGCTATCTTGAGAAATATTTGAAGAGTTTTGACAGTTTTTTGCGAGGTGTCCTTG